TGTCAAGCAGACTCAGCTTGCTAGCTTAGTTGAATGGAATGAATGAATTAGTTAGTTTATTTGTTTGCTTGTTTGTTATTGTTTCGAGTGGAAGGAGATATGGAAATAGAAGAGAGGGGATGGGATATTGAACGAGTATTTCGGAGCATTTAGTTGGTGTGTATGAGTGCGTTGATGACAATTGGCATTTGGTATTTGATATTATAAATCTACATTAGCCTCGTCTTACTGATCATCGTCATAATCGTTTATGACTATCATATTTATTTATTTTAATATTTGTTTAATCACCAAACACAGTAACTCATTAACAGTTAAAATCTCTTTTTTTTTAAATCGCTGGTTAATATTACAATTAGCAATGAATACATTATTCCTTCTCAAACATTCTTATTTCCTTCCGTCCACAGTTAACGATATCAGCTGTGCATGAAATCAGCCGTCTTCATGAAATAACCTAATCTACATGATTAGTTCGGTGATCACAAAATTAAGAGGCTCTTTCCTTGAAACATCCAATAGTCTCTAGAAACAGAGACTCGAAATTAACATCGAAAAAGAAAATGTGACCTCGATTGATCGAGGTAACAACCAAACAATCATGCAGTAATCGTTCAGTGTAATGAAATGAAAGTGCAAGTAACTGCATCATCCGTTTAGGAGAATAGGTAAAATGTTTTGAAAATCTTCACTAGCGTTATTGAATGGGAAGAATTAGAATCATATTCAAGCATGCTTCTGAACTGCAGTCATCTTATACTCGAACGCTAGACTGCATTTCAATGTTATACCTTCTTGATTTTCAAAAAACCGCATTATCACAGAGTATGCTTATCAAAGACTAGCAAATGATGCATTTTTAAATAATATTCGAACGGAAATCATTTATGTACTTGTATTCATACTAATTATTATTCTTATAATTATTTTTATTTTGCAGTGTATTCTATTCGACAATCATTAATTCCGTCATCATCACAATTACAACAAAGCGGTGGCTATACAATGATGAATATGAATGGTAATAATAATAATCTTAATAGTAAATTGATGATAAGAATACAAATAAAAAGTGATAAAAATGCTAGTGATGACAATAAGAGTAATAACGATAATTCATTCACTTCAAATCAGTACCATAATCAGCAACATCTCCGAGATCGCAAGCAGTCATGATCACTGCCTTTCTGTTTTCTAGATAACGCACATCATCAGTGTGCCATTGTTTCTGAAGAGTTGCTATCGGATGAGTGTCATCGCAATTCAACTGGTTCAAATTCCAGTCGTACCAGTTCATCTGGCTTTGAGAGTATGAAGGTTTGTTTGTCACTTGTTCAGTTTTATTGATCAGTAATAAGCCGTATCATTATTGGTATTATTATTGTCACCGTAATGCATTAAGCTAGCTAGGAGATTGGCTGAAACACATCATGTTGAATAAATATTATAGTTACGAAATGAAAGTGTGCAAAGTCTGCGAGAGGATAAATAGAGCCCCAGACGTTTTGCGTTATTATTACTCTCTTCGTTAATTAATTCCCAAAAAGTCAGATGTCTGAGTCTTCGTTTTAGACCAAATTTGCACTTTTTGACCAATACGAATAATAAAATTAATGACAGTTATTCATTAATTTATTCATTTGTTCATTTGATTCTACACAAACACATTGGTACACTCGTTTTCTCTTTCACTCTCACTTGTTACGGAAATATGCTGTATAACCTCGAACATAGAATTTACCTCAATTCTACACCCATCCTCAAATTTTCTTCCTTTTTTACGGGTTTCCAAAATACACATTCCTTTTCTCTCTCAATTCAGTTCCCACCCTCCAGTTTTCTCTGTCCTCCACTGATTGGCCTTCAAGTTGCACATTCCCTGGGGTATTACATGGTAATGCATGAATTTACGTATTGTTTTTGTTTCATCTTTGATAATTAAGAAATGAAGTAAGCTTTCAACAACATATCGTTTCATCTTGTTTTGTCGCATCTCATCTCGTCCTGCCTCCGCTTCTCTTCTGTTACAGATCAACTAACTAATAGTAAATAAGTAAATAAGTGTAATACATAGTGGTAATTGAAGTAGACGAAAAATAATGTGAAATTAAATAAAAGGATCGAAAAAAATTATTCAATTCAATTCGATTTTGTTCTATTCCGATTTTGCTATTCTTTGTAGATTTATGTCAGCCAGCCATCTGTCTCATCTACATTTGTTGCATCTAATCAAATCTAATCTAATCTAGTCTTGTTTTATCTCATCTCATTTCGTATTGTATGTATTGTGAATATTCTTCTTGATGATGGTGGTGATGAAAGAATGACAACGAATAGAATACATTCAAGATTGAATCGAAATTTTTTCCATTTATATATTCATCTATCGATTCAAGAATTCTTTCATTCATTATCTTATTCCACAACAAAACGAATTCATCATGTGCACGAAATTCAAATGAATGCGTTGCATTTACGAGTACGTATAGATGAATACTGATACGTGTTCAGTTCAGTCATTTGAATTGAATAAAATTTCGTTCTATCAAATTTGAAATTCAGTTTTCATTAACAATTTATCCATTCATATTTTCTTTCAATAATTAATTTATTCACTCATTCGATTGTGTTCTTTCATCTTCATTTTCAAGTTGTTCTTCATTTATTCATTGGTTCGTTTATTCAAAATGTTATGTGTCTTTCTTGATCAGTGCTCAGATAAACGATTAAAAATCGAAAATAAATATTATAGCTGTAATAAATCTGATGATAGCTCTAATCTGCGCATATCAACTATGCTGTGCTGTCTGGCCTCGGCTGCTAGGCAACAACTAGCTTTAGAAATTAACAAAAGTATCAGTAGCAGCAACATGAAAACAAGATGCTAAAAAATGACTTAAGTCATCGGCTGCTGATAGTGGGGTTGATTTGAGGATCGGTCGGAAGAAGAGATGATCCATGCACCACTCAGGATTGGTTGCTATTCTAGCCTGCTAGCGAGAAAAGAGGCTGGCATTAACGGATTAGCAATTGCATGAATTAACAGATGAGTTAGGGTCGAATTATCCTCTTGTTGCTGGATGGATTGCAATTTATTCATTCATCACTGCATCTCGAACGAGATCTCTTGCTGTGATTGTAGAGGGTTATCTCTTGCTTTAGAAGGTGTTGGATAATAAAGACAACTATTGTTGTAATCTTGCATTATCAATGATAATTCAGAGTGGATGTTCATCGTCAAAAGGAGGTGGAGTGGTAGCAAGTGCAAGTGCTGCAAGTAGCACAAGTTCATCATTTCTAGCTGCTGCCTCGTCGTCAAGCTCTGTGCCAGGTAGATGTTGTTATGTTCTCATTGCTATTATCATTATTATTACGTCCTTCATTATCATCCGCCCATTGCAATCTTAAAGAAGAAGAAGTTGAAACTTGAAAGTTTTTAGTGCTTTTAAATGACAACAATTGTGTGGACGGTAGTGGTATGAGTGGTAGTTTATCAGTTTCGGGTTCAGGCTTGATGCGTGGATGCGACAGTCCCCAGTCTCGAGTTTCAGTGCACAGCCAAGGATCAGTGGCATCCGCATCTGGAAGTAGTACAACCAGCGGTGGCAGTAACAGCAGCAGTCATTGTCAAGGTGCTGGATCGTCGTCGATAATCTCGCAGACATCCTCTTCATCAATAATCCTCGATGCACCACAATCACAGTTCGATGAAAGCTGCATCTCATCTTCATCATTAACCCCAAATATTAACAACACTTCGTCGTTGCTCATTAATCATTCTCTTATTGATCACTCAAATGCATCCTCATTGCTGTTGCCACTTTCCGTACCCGATATGGTACGAAAGCAAATCCCGGTTAGTTTCGTTCTTGTTGTTTTGATGATGTGAGACATTCAGCTCAAATCTTAATGATAGGTTCATCATTCGGTTTGCAGCAAACTGCTGGGAATGTCATTGATGTGTATGTTTGATTATTTCTTTGCTCACTTATTTATCGTAGTGTTTGTTGATTGATGTTGGATGGTGTTTGCAGGAAGCCGAAATCTTGGCCTTGTGGTTAGACAGACTTGGCAGATCTGAGTATTTGAGCGTTTTCTTAACGCAAGGCTATGATTTAGCAACAATAGCACGTATAACGCCTGAAGATTTGATTGCGTTGGGTATAACACAACCAGCTCATCGAAAACAATTAATTGCCGAAATACACACCTGGAATATCACTGATTCGTGGCCTTTTGCTCTGCCTTCTGGCGATCTCGGGTAATGATTTATTCATTTCTGCACTTGTTCATTTTCTTTGTTTATTATTTATTTCGTAATAATAGTCGATCTCTATTTGTATATGTATTTCTGCTCTTCTTGTTATCATCATATAATTAATTTTATAAGTCATTATCATTATTATTACCATTATTGTTGTTATCTGTTATAATCATTATTTATTGTCTAGGGAATGGTTAGCGTTAATTGGTTTACCCGAATATTTGGAGCTATTCGAATCACAAGGTTATTATTCGATGGATGAAGTGCAAAAACTGAATTGGGAGGATTTTGAGGATATTGGTATTAAGAAGCTGGGACATTTAAAACGTCTTGGCTTAGCCATTAAAAAAATGCTTGATTATCGTCTTGGACGTTTGAACATGCTTGAGCATGCGAACATGATTACGGTTGCACCTTATGGCAGCCGAATGGGTGCGCAGGTGAGTAGCTTCATATCATTAGAAATACGTGGATTGATTCGATTCCAGGAGTTGTTTCATTCATCCGAATAGTTTTACCGATGGGTCTTGTTTTGGTCTCATCTTTGAGGGGACTTAGTATGGGTGATTATTATAATAATAGAATGATGGTGTTCATTTGTTTGATAATGATATACCGCGGTGATTGAGTTTTGCCTTTTTAGACTGAGTGGCATTTTTGATGAAACAATTAGTCCTTTTTCATCCTGATCTATTTATCATCACAAACAGGAGAGTGTTGTTAACGACAACAACAACTGTGAATCTGAAATCTGATATTTTGCAAAAACTTCAATTTCAGGTGAAATCACCTCCGCCCCCACCGCCACCATCATCTACGGGAAGAGTATCATCGCCGGCCGGAGATGGAATGCGTTATCATGCTCCACCGCCGCCTCCAGCACCTTCATCATCATCCATATCAACATTTCATTATGACAATAATAATAGTAATTACATGTTGAGTGATCAAGATAATAGCAGTAGTCATATGAATGAAGGCTCTTCTTTACCGTATGCGCATCATTACGCAACTTGGACAAGAAGCGGACGTTGTGCTAGTGCAGTGGTGTCGACTGGAGTGGCAGAAAGAGGTGAAGAAGGATGTGCAGTTTCTTGTAGTGGTGCTCCTTCTTCTGCATGCAAATCAACATTCTCTTCCTGTCAGACAGCTAATAAAGTTGATAAACACCAACAAAATGCCTCTTATCTTCGACAGCATGATGCTCATACTACTATACCATCATCGTCTACAACACCAAATATGATTAGGAACTGTAACACTCAAAATAAACCAACTGTTCAAGTAAGCACTATTTACCTACTCTGCATTAACTTCAACTCGTTAATTATTTAAGTGTCTCATTAAAATATTCCATAGCTCATTCGTATGTGATTGTGTGAAATAGAAGTCAGCATTATGTTTTGTTAGGCAATTACTTTAAAAAATTAGTTGTGTTGTTTATTTATAGGTTTATCCACATCATCGTCCAAATGCTGCACCTTCTTCAAAGCAGTATGAAAAACATCAACAGGATGAGGACAGCAATGGAGGCGATGAAACGGTTGTTTTGGATGATCACGGTTTAGCGCAGTTAGGGGTTTATACGAAGACGGAAAAGAAGAAGTCAGCGTCGAATCTTAATCATCATAATTTATATGGTGATCATCACGATGACAATTATATGGAACTAGTGGACGAACCAAAGAAATATATCCGTTTAAATCTTTATTCGCCAGCGAGAATTTTATCGGATGAAGCATATCCGGGTTCATTAACGACAGATGTTAATGGTAGTGGTATGAAGAGGCACAGTGCGGGTTGTTTCGTGAACGAGAGTGGTGCTACAGACAGAATACAACAAATGCAAAAGCATTCAGTTGCAAAAGAACAGGAGCAAGTGACTGCGGTGGAATCTTCATCATCATTAATTGATAATCCAACAGCCACCACCACGTCGAGCACGACTACTTCGGATTCTGAAGATTACCCACCTCCACCTGGTTCATTTTTGTTTTTTTTTTATTGATTCTATCTGTTTTTCTACTCGTCTTCAGAATAGTGATGTTAATCGACTCAGGTTTGGTCCAGCCATACTGTACGAAAACCATCAACATTGGTTCAAGTGAAGTAAAATTGACTATCTCCAGAAGTACCTGTTCCTTTAGCTGTCACAGTTTTCACTAAATATAGTGAGGAGGAGAATACAACCTACACGGTGTTCCTGAAGTAGGGATACATAGTGTTGGGGAAAGGAACAAATGCATATTCCCACTGAAACTTTTCATGAAGTACTTCACTGAGCTTTGCAAATTACTGTATCAAGTGGAGACCTCATTATGAATGTTTTTTTCGTCAGCTGTTCAGGATCGTCCTGGAGTGCAATCACTTAGAAAACGTGTGTGCCTCATGCTAGTATCACCACTGTGTATTCCAACTTCGCAGTTAGAGTTTCACTGTTTCATCTGTAATGTTGACAATTATTATCATTCATTCATTACAGCACCGTTAGCATGTGAAGGCTCAATTCGTTTACTACGTTCCGCATTTCGTACATCATCACCAGCATCTACAGTCGCTCCGGCTTCATCTTGTTGTACGGCTGGCACTGCCACGAATGTAAACGGAAGAACGACTCCGATGGTCGGAGTTACGATGACAAGCAACTGTGCAAGTAATGAATGTGTGCTACCGTTTGCGAACGACAACTGTGGAACGATTCGAAGTAGTAGTCGATCGGCGAATTGTACATGTAATATTGATAATAACACAACAACAGCATCCTCATTAAAAGATTATCAAAAAACGGCTGCTTGCGGGCTCGGCAGTGAGGCCATAAGCGGAACACAACGACGGCCAACAACTATCGCAAATCATCATCAGAACAGTCTTTTCACTGCAGCTACTGGCGCAATGAGCAATCAAGTTGTCGTTCCCCTTGACCACAATAATAGTAGCAGCGTTATTCCAACGGACATTTCAAAATGGTAAGTTGTTGACTGATAACATTGTTTATTTACTTTGTCGTTCATTTGTTAATTTGTTCGCTCATTTCAGTTATAGAATGACTGCAAATGGTGATGTATTGAACGACATTGGTTTCATGTTACAAAACTTAACCGACGAATTAGATGCGATGTTATTACCAAAACAACAACAAAAACATTTCATTCCCAATGAAAACCCCTCTTTGATCAATTAGCAGTAACGACATACTGCTAACGATGGTTTTATTCAACTACTTAAATAATCTTTTATGTATTTATTCATCATTATTTCAAATATATAATACATATTTAATTAATTAACTATTTATTATTATTATTATTATTATTATTATTATTTTGAATCGAAGCCATCTATGTATGACAAGTGCATGAGAAATGTTGTGGTTAAATATATTGGAAGAATATTTTTTCGAAAATCTATTTTCGTTGTCATTTCATTTTTCATGCTTGTTAGGTGCATTATGTTCGCTGTTTGACTGTGTATTTTTGAATTATTTGAAAACGTGTGATATGCCATATTAGTAAATATTTATTATTTTTATCATTATTACTATTAATGTTTATTATTGTTGTTGTTTTTTTCAACAATAATGGTGGTAAATCAATTGTTATCTCGTTTATGATGTATTTTTATTGTTGAATATTATATGTATAAAATTTATTGTAATTTTGTTCTTTCATAAAGAGTCATATAAAAGTTATTAATGTTGTTGTGTGATTTTGCCGTTTTTTTTTCTTATTGTAATTGTTGAAAGTGTCACTGAAAGCGGCTGCCTAACGGCCTATTTGTAACATATTCTCTCGATCATCATAAGTACATCCTCATCCGATCAAGCTTAGTTTTCTTTCAGTGTCTCAAATTTTTATCCCTCTTCCCAGTTCATGTCAATTCTGAGTTCAGATAGCTAAATCCATAATAATAATATTTGGAATAGTGTGTATTCATATATGGTATGAGCACATGTATTTGTGCTAGTAGTATGGTGCAGCAACGGAAAAAATGTCTGCGACAGGGAAAATCGGGGACGACATTTAGCGGTCGGCTCAAAAAAGTCGAAGACGGAAAATTTCGGGGAAAACTCAATCTTGTCCCCCTCCCCCCCGATTGCTGAATTTTCCCAAAAATGGAACTTTTAAACTTGAGTCAGCAGGAACTTGAAAACAAGATTTTTTGATGGAAAAGCATTGAAATAAGCAATCTTAAGGTTAGAACAGCGATAACTGCGAAGCCACAGTGCATTTCTATGAACAGTATTTTATTCAAGCACATGATAAAAAGTGCAACAATAAAACTTCTTCGACAAAAACAAAAGAGAATATACGCTGTACTGCTGCAGTTTTCTACATTACTTATCTATGCGGGCATACCATGTATCACTGTGCAGCTCTCGAAATATTCTCAAGTTCGATTAAGACCGCAAGTTGGTTTTTGTGGAGTCTCACTCGATCATTGGTCTGCGAATTTCAGGAACATGGAAGTTGATCGGGGAGTCAGCTAAATGAAAGTTTTTTTGTTCATCGTTATAAGACACGTCCTTGTGAAAGCATCCATCTGCCTGATATCCTCCCTCACGTTCATTGCTACGAGTCCACTGATGAAATCAGTTCTAATTTTACTGCCCAAGCCACGATAGTAAAAATAAAACAATACCGATATTAGCAATGAAAGGAATGGCAAAAAATAGCGGTGTAAGTAATGTCGATAACAATAATCAATATTGTTGTTAAGATTCCCGAGTTTTCTCTCAGGACGGAGAATTCCGATTAGTCCAGTATATATGCCAATTGTGACTATTGGCCAATTGTGACACTGATCACACCAAGCGGCATAACTCTTGTATCTTGACAATCGGAGTCAAATTTAAATGCGGATTGCTAGGGTACTTAATCTCGGCTACAAGTTGGTGCATATCCTGGTTATGTCGGGTGGGCAACAATTTCAATTGTTTGTGCGCTATAAAACGATATAGGAATTGACCGGATTTGTTCCTTTCGAAAGGAACTACACCGAAAGTCTCTCTCATACTTTTGTCTCTCGTAACGCTCGTTAGTCACCGTAATTTGGGCATCGAACCAATAAAATTTCTCCTTACAATTTATTGGATGAAATGGAAAAGAACAAATAATAAAAATCACCCGGCTCAATTTAGCCAACAAATGCTCAGCTGAAGCATAAGTGAAACTCAACGTAAGCTCTGAAGCATACGAAGGCTCAGACAGAATCCAATCTAAGCATGGCTGAAGCTGATGAGAAAAAATCATTGCTGCACGGTGTTATGATTATAATTGCTCTTGCTGCACTGTTAACCCGAACCCTCGTCCTTCATCTCATCGTTTCCATACACCTACTTTCATTGCGTTTAATTCGCTGAAACGTAAACAAAAAACGGACGTATTTGTTGCTTTTGCTAGAGGTGATCGATTGATTACGAAATTTTTCTAGCTCACTTTGAATCTTCACTGCTAACAGATCACCATGACCATATAATCTTACTTTTATCCATTCGTTGGTTTCGTCGTCATTTGTAAACGAAAATTTCGTTCGTTGGATAACGTTTTCATTTTTTTTCGCTTTTGGAGTGTCTTTGTGGAGTGGTTTTCAAGAACCGGACTATTCCCAGAACAATGGTAGCAGCTGAACCAGTCCCCGATGAAAATGGGGAAATTGAGCCAAGTTTTTCGGATTCTGAGTACAGTTACGTTGAATCAGCATCTGACGAAGGTTAGTATTAATGCTTTTTCATTCAGTTTATTTGTCCCACTGCAACAATTAATGACAAAAATAGCATCTGGCATAAACTAATGATTGTTTTCATTGTAGAACTAGTCGGTGATGTCCTAAGTAAGAAGCCGCTAGAAAGTGAGTATGAACATTGTTGTATCATTGTTGCTGGCATTCCTCAAGTTGGTGAGGATCGTCTGCCGAAGTTGAAAAGTGTTCTGGGGAAACTATTTGCTCGAATTCATGATCAATATAATGATTACTACCCATTAGATAAAGATGGCAAAACCAAGGTTTGTCTTGTCATTCTTATTGTTATTGTGTAGCATGGTTATCGTTATTTTTATTAGATCAGTTAATATTATTCACTATTACTATTGTTATCAATAATAGTGTTATCATTATTGATGTTACTTTTGCACCGAGAGAATAATTTTCGAAATAGTTTACTTCCGTATTGATTCATTGTGACAGAAATAATTTAAAACGAAGTAATCACTGAATAAATGAATTAATTAGTGAATGGATTAGCTGTGTTATTTTATGAATACATTCTAGGGTTATTGTTTTGTGGAATATCCATCTAGTGAGGTGGCTGAGAATGCGACTATAATATTGGATGGTTATGTGCTAGATAAGAATCATACGTTCTCGGCGAACGTCTTCTTGGATTTGAACAAATTTGAGGCACCCGATCCAAATTGGAAAGCACCCACTGCTAGACAATACACAGACTTTGTAAGTTCTTTTGCTTTAATCGAATTTGGATGATTTTGTTTTGCTGCATGTCCTGTTTCTTAGCTCTTTGATTGAGTCGAGAGAACGCTTTGTTTTGCATTGAATGGAAAGTGTTGTAAAGAACCTGTTAAATTGCTAATCTTCTAAAACATCTTTTAATGTTGGTATCGTGCTTGTTGCCATTATTATTGTTATAATAATAACAACAGTAATTATTATTATTATTATAACAATAATAATAATAATTATTATTATTGCTATTGTTATTACTGATAGTGATACTTTTGTTCTGTGTGTAATATTAATTTTTATTACTAGTAAGATAATTGTTATAATTGAATAAAGGGTGATCTTTGGTGGTGGTTACAAAATGAGAAATGCTATGATCAATTTGCGGTGCATTACGAACGTGAGACAACAAAAGGCGCAACTGGGATCAGTCCATTCGTCAGTGTTTATGAATATCGAAAGGGTCAAGATCCACTTTTAGCCGGTTCAAATGCTGAACGTCAGGTAGGCGGCAATTAATATCAATCTAATCATTTATTATTTTTATTGTTACTGTCATTTTATGCAAAGAAAGAACAGTTCAGACGTGGACGGTAAGTGTTTTCAAATGGTCACCGTATGGAACGTTCTTGGCGAGTGTTCATCCAATGGGTATTGCGCTATGGGCTGGTGAAAATTTTGATCGTTTTATTCGAATGCAGCATGAAAACGTTATGATGTTTGATTTTTCGCCATGTGAAAGGTTTGTTTGTTCGTTTACTCGTTTATTTGTTTATCTGTTTGTTGATTTATTTATTTTTTGGTTGTTTATTTATTAATTTGTCTTCTTACCAGTCAATTTATCTATGAACTGCTTGCATGTCGATTTAGTTATTGAGTGATTGACCTTGATGAGCGAGTGAGCTTTTTTTTGAAACTAGAATATGCATTCATTGATCACATGGTAGATTCAATAATAACAGCGGTAATAAAAACGAAGTCTTTTATTGGGATAGTTTACTGATTGAATCATGTAATGTAGATTTGTGGTGACATATGCACCACCGGAAAATCGTTGGGTTGAAGATGCGAACTCGTTGCGTATATTCGACGTGCATACCGGTGAAATGCGTAAAGGGTTTTCATTACTGCATCAACAACGTGACCACAATTCACTTCCGTGTTGGCCATATTTTCAGTTAGTCAATTTATTGTTATCAGGCAGTATTTGTTCGCTTGAGATTCAATTCATTTATTGATTGAATCATTTTCGATGTGATTTAGAATGGGTTCTAAATGCATAATAATTGAGGTGGTCATCCGATGAGAAATATGTGGCATGCTTAAAGCCAGGAGGTAACGGAATAAGCGTTTATGAAACGGAGCATTTCACATTATTGGATAAAAAGCATATAACCATTGACGGATTACGCTCGTTTCAATGGTCACCGACCAGACCTGTGATTGCCTACTATTGTGAGGAGCGGGTGAGTTTATTTCATTATTTACTGATGACTGATCATAGGTAACGATAAATATGATTGTTTTGAGACAGCGGAGAGTGCACCAGCGGAGATTGGTTTAATGGAGATCCCATCACGAATAAAATTACGTGCACAACGCATCTTCTCGGTCTCAGAAGTAGAGCTGTTCTGGAATCGAAATGGTGATCGTTTGGCCGCACATACGGAACGTTATCAGAAGAAGAACGTCAAAAGTTCGGGTGGCATTGAGGACATTAAATATTCGGTGAGTGTTGCTACTGGTGGTGAGGGGTTTTGTTTCTTGTTATTCATTGATGGCGTACACTTCAGAAGCCAACATCGCATATTGAAATATTTGATGCACGTGAAAAAGATGTTTCGGTTTTGTCGATGCAACTTTCTGAATCGTACGTATCATTTGGTTGGGAACCATCAGGTTAATATTATTGTTTCTTTTTTTAATTTTTAAAATTCATTACCATTATTGTTATTGTTGATGACTAATGTCATTAGTATTATGGCAATTAAATTGGAGGTGATAAATTTTGTGTGCTGGTTGGAAGTCAGCATAAGTCGACGCCGTTGATATATGTGCTAGATTCGTCGAAGCACGTCCCTCAACTAATATCCAAGTTCGAACCATCCGAACGTTTCACAAATGTCTCGTGGGCACCAAATGGCGGTTGGTTGGTTGTTTATTCAGCGAATACAACTTCGGGGGCAATCATGTTCATCGATAGTAATGGCACTGAACCAACTCGTACGATGCTTGTCGAATATCCGGGATTTAGCAAGGTTCTTCATTTGTTTATTGATTGTTTATTAGTTTGTGTGTGTGTGATCGTTCACTTGTTCATTTTTAGGGCTATTGGGATCCAACAGGTCGTTATTTTGCGGCGGTCTATACGACAGGTGGTGGAAAAGGTGGTGATACGGGTTATCGTTTATTTACGTTTCAAGGGAAGGAGTTATTCCGGAAAAATTTGGATCGATTAATGCAGTTCAAATGGAGACCGCGTTTGCCGGTCAAGTTACCTGACGCAACCATTAAGGTGTGAAGAGCATCAATTTTTGATAATTGTTTATTGTTATTATTGTCTTTAATTGCCACAATTGTTATTGTTATTATTTTTATTCCTATTGTTATTTTCGTGAATTTAATTCATTGTTATCAATTTTTCAGTTGATTAGGAAAAATCTGAAATCGACCTCAGCGAAATTCGAAGAAGAAGATAAACGTGAGCGTGGTAGAGCGTCACAGGTGAGCTGGATTTTTATTTAGATGTTTGAATTGATTCATTTTTGTCGTCATTAATTTCATTTTGTGATTATATTATATCACTATTGGTATTGTTGTTATGTTTTTACGGTTACTAATTATGATGAGAAGAAAATATTCAGGAAGTAATAGCAAAGAGAAGGAAAGTGATGGATGAATTCAAGAAAGTTCGAGCGAAGCATGCGAGTGCTTATGATCAAGATGCTAATCTACGTCTGAAATTGAGAGGTCGATTGATTTTATTTGTTATTATTTTTGTTGTTGTTTATCATTTGTGATTGTTTTTAATTATACTGATTATTATTGTAGGTGGGGCAGCGTCTGCTAGGTTGGATTCAGAGGAATTAGTTGATGAGACAATAATGGTACCGTTGACGACTGAAAAAATCAAATTACAAGAAGCTACGATCGAGGAAGAGTAAAAAGGCTTAAACGATAAAATTACATCGGTGGTTTGGAAGAAATTGATTTGAGTTCATTTATTTTCATTTTGTTGCGAAGAAAATTTGAAATTTCATTTCGTTTATTCATTCATTTAATTATTGATTCATTATAAAGATTGAATTTAGTAAACCTGAAAGAGATTTGTTCTGTTCTGTCGTATTGTTATTGGATAACGATAATAGTAGTCACAGTAATAGTAATAATATCAGTTTTTATTGTGGTTGTATTCGGTTTATTTTTATCATTTGGTTCAATAGTAACGGTAATAATCAGTTGATAAAATTAATCACATCCATTTTAAATATTTTCATTGTTATTTACATTATTTATTGCATCATCATCGGAATTATTATTGTTAATTTTGTTACAATTATTTGTAACGAACAGCCACTATTATTATCACTATTGTTATTCATTATCACCACATTTGATCAGTTGAAAGTATTGCTGGACTGTAGCGAATCTGTCTGACAGTGTACAAATATGTTTATTGCTTTTCATTTTCTTCGTGACTATTATAATATCGATGATGAAAATATGATGGTCTTTTTATTGATGCACTTCGAGTTTATCTATTGGTTTTGTTGGAATATGGTTAGTATGAATTTATTCATCGCATACACATCATATTGTGTTGGTATTGATTTTATTGTTGTTGTTATTACTATTATGAGTATGAGGGTTGCAAGTATTATTTATTTATCACTGAACATGGCTACGCTTTTAGGGCACTTCAATTTGTGTTTACCGAATTGGGAAAGGTTTTAGTAAACTGATTGTTTGTTTCTGTGGAGATTATCATTGTTTGTTGGTTGTATTGTGATAAGATAATGATAGTGGTAATGATGATGATAATTAGTTGATAAGTGGATGAATGAATGGATGATTAAATAACAATCAGTTTTAATCCGTTGGTTTTACTCAGCTGGACTGTCATCATATGAGGACAAAAGCAGAAAATGCGTCAATTCTCCAGGTTGCTGTTTACGCCGTCAGTTGAGTGTTTCGTTTGCGCATGCTTAAGCCTAAGCAGCAATTTACTCGTTGTTTTGTTTGCGTTTGTAACGTTTCAACGATGACTTCTAACTGATTACTTATAAACGTGAGAGGGGAGCACAGCTTGTTGGAAATCAATGTGGTGAGCTTTCTTTGATTGGGTAGGTGCTGGTGATTTTAAATGGGATATTTGAAATGTATTGTTCGAGACGATTGGCGATTACTTTAAGAACTATTAAGTTGTTAATAATAATAATCGGCCAGATTGATTAAGTGATAGTGAATTATTCAAGTTAATGAATTGTTCATTCGTGCATGTTAATGACGTTTCGCATTGATGGTGTGTGCTCAAATGAAAACATTTCTGCCGGGCAATATTAATGAATAATGAATGATATTTATGATTGGTTATTGTTTTATTACTGTTAATTGTTAAGAGAATAAATTTTGGTCGAGTCAAATGTTGAACAATTTTAATTGTCCATTGTTGTTATCGGTTATTGTTGAATTTTTAGATGAGCTCTTATCTAGGTACATACCTGTGGATTTGTTAGATCGATTGATGGATGCATTGGAGGGTGTTGTTGTTCGAAAACATTTTATTTGGGTTTGAAAGGTGAGAATGGTGGTATTTTTGTATAATAATATTGCAACAGTGATAGTGATAGAAATAATGATAGCAGTATTGTGAATGGCTATTGGGAATTATAAAAAGATATTCATTTCGTTTTTTGTATATTTGCATTGTATTTATAATTATTGTATTGAATGAATGGCTGGCTGAGCGTAATAGAGAAATGAAAGTGTATAAACAACTGTAAAGTTTATTATTTATATGGTATTTTTAATCAGCATATCTTAGTTTCCATAATGTGCGTAACTGAGTTGAAGAATAGTGGTATGAGTGATTTGCAGAAATTTGTTTGCTTTCTTGAGGTTTTGATTTGAATGTAATATAACATGAAAAATCACTGTTTGAACAACAATTAATCTAACTATTATTATTATTATTATTATTATTATTATTATTATTACCATAACTTATTATTACCATTATAACCAGTAACAGTGATAGTCATAATAGTAATACTAATAAATAATAAAAGTGGCAGGCATTTGTGTCCACCAACTATTAATAGTATTAGAAAGGTGAGAAGAGCTGATCGTGGCAAAGAATGTGAGGTGATCCGGTTTGTGCGGTTAGTTTGTGTATTTGGGCTAGTTGTGAATAATTGGATTGCGATTTACTTACTTATTGTTTGGTCACGAATTGGTCAGACGATTTTTTGAAGAGATTTATTGAGATGTTCGCCACAAAGCGATTCGCTTCGATACGTTTAACAGTGCAATTGATGATACTTTTATCGACATCGATCAACCTGATCAGTAATGATACAAACAGGCTTATGGCCAGTGCACAAATGCTTGGTGGTTATGGTGGAATGTATGGTTAGTTACATTGCTTCATC